GGCTGCAGCAGCAGGAAATGTAGGCACAGCAGTATATAGAACGGCGGCGACGAGCTGCACCAGCAGCAGCAACACATGCAGCAGCAGCAGCAGCAGCACGTGCCGCAGCAGCAACAGCAGCAGCAGCAGCAACAACAGCAGCAGCAGCAGCAGCAACAGCAGCAGCAGCAGCAGCAGCAGCTAAAGAGACATCACCACCAAGCAGAGAAATTTATATTATGCTGCACAAATGGGGTTTATGGATGTCTGTGTACTCTTGCTGCTGCTGCTGCTGCTGCTGCTCATGCTGCCGTTGCTGCTGCTGCTGCTGGTGTTCTTGCTGCTGCTGCTGCTGTTCTTGCTGCTGCTGCCGTTGCTGTGAGTGCAGTATGTATACGTGTCTACACGCTTGACAGCAGCATCAGCTGCTGCTGCTGCTGCTGCAACCGCTTCTACCGCTGCTACTGCTGCTGCATCTGATGCTGCTGCTGCATCTACTGCTGCTGCATCTGCTGCTGCTGCTGCTCCATCTGCTGCTGCTGCATCTGTTGCTGCTGCTGCTGCTGCATCTGCTGCTGCTGCTGCTGCTCCATCTACTGCTGCATCTGCTCCTGCATCTGCTGCTCATGCTGCTGCTGCTGCATCTGCTGCTGCTGCTGCTGCTGCTGCTGCATCTGCTGCATCTCCTGCTGCTGCTGCCGCTGCATCTACTGCTGCTGCTGCTGCATCTGCTGCTCCTGCTGCTGCTGCTGCTGCTGCATCTGCTGCTGCTGCTGCTGCTGCTGCTGTGTGTGTGATGTAGCCGCTGCAGGTATGTCTGATGTGTGTATCTTCTGGTGGTTTTATATATTTGTGGTTGTCTGCGGGTGTAAACCCTCTGCAGCAAACCCTAAACCCTAAAAAATATTTAATAAGTAAACCCCAGCAGCAGCTCTCGCTTGAGGATAAACTAAAACAAGAACTCGGACACACCACGTAGGGTTTTATGCTGCTGATGCTGCTGCTGCTGCTGCTGCTGCTGCTGCTGCTGCTGCTGCTGGTGATGCTGGTGGTGGTGGTGCTGGTGGTGCTGGTGCTGGTGGTGGTGGTGGTGATGCTGCTGGTGATGCTGCTGCTGCTGTTGGTGGTTTTGTTTTGCTGCTGTTGCTGCTGCTGCATTTGTTGCTGCTGTTGTTGCTGCTGCTGCTGCTGCTACTCGTCCTGCTGCTGCTGTTCTTGCTGTTGCTGCTGCTGCTCCTGCTGCTGCTGCTGCTGCTGCTGCTGCTGCTGCCCACGGTGGTTGTATGGGGAGGGTGATAAGGAGACAGGGAAAAACAGCAAAGGAATTTGTGCTGCTGCTGCTGCTGCTGCTGCTGCTGCTGTTGCTGCTGCTGCTGCTGCTGTTGCTGCTGCTGCTGTGCAGGCTGCAGCAGTGGAAGGCATTAGGGTTTATTGACGAAGAGGACCTAAAGCCAGACCCTAAACCCTAAACCCTAAACCCTAAACCCTAAAACAAACTTAATTTATTTTTTTTGTTTACTTTTTTATTTTAATTTTTTTTTGTTTATTTATAATCATACTTATATACAGGTATTTATATCTCTGTATTTATAATATATATATATATATATATATATATATATATATATATATATATATATATATATATATATATATATACAAGTGCAAATATATGATGCAGTAACAACAACTGCTAGGGTTTAGGGTTTAGGGTTTACTAGAGTTTATTGTTTAGGGTTTGCTAGGGTTTAGGGTTTGCTAGGGTTTAGGGTTTGCTAGGGTTTAGGGTTCGCTAGGGTTTAGGGTTTGTTAGGGTTTAGGGTTTGTTAGGGTTTAGGGTTTGCTAGGGTTTAGGGTTTGCTAGGGTTTAGGGTTTAGAGAAAGAAAAACCAATCGAGTTGTAACAAACGCCAGCTCATACAGCTGGCAAGGGGCCCCCCTAAGCCCCAAACCCTAAACCCTAAACCCTAAACCCTAGGCTTGAGGGGCCCCCCGAGGGTCCCTGAAACTCAGGTATAGTATCGTCTATACCCTGGGGGTTTTGAGGGGCCCCCCAGGGGGGCCCCCAAGGGCCCCCATTCCCCCCCTAGGGGGCCCCCCAAAGCACACAGTTTAGGGGGGGCCCCCATGCCCTCAAGGGGCCCCCGGTACCCTGCTGCCGCGCAGGGGGGCCCCCGGGGCCCCTGTGAGGTGTAGCAGCACCTTAGAGCTTTGCTGCAGTTCCCTCTAAACCCTTATCATCTGCTGCTGAGGTCAGAAGAGGGGGGCCCCCCAGGGGCCCCCCTAGGGGCCCCCTAGGGGCCCCCATAGGGGGCCCCTATAGCGTACGCGGTGCTTAGCTTTAGTACCCTTGGAGGGGCCCCCAAGGGCCCCCCTAAGGGGGGCCCCTCTTCTTGACTATGGGCCCCCTCAGGGGCCCCCAACAAAGGACCTTGTTACTGCTGTTGGTATCTGTAGAGGTCTAGGGTTTAGGGTTTAGGGTTTAGGGTTTAGGGTCTTTGCCCTGTGGTGCAGCGACTCCTCTTCTGCTTGGGGGGCCCCTGGGGGGCCCCGCGGGGGGCCCTCCCGTTCAGGGGCCCCCAACACACTCTACGCTGCCTCTCCCCTCTCGGGGGGCCCCCCTCGTATTGGGGGCCCCCCTTGTGTGTGAGGGGGGGCCCCCTACTGGGGGGCCCCCCCGTCACTGTGCTTGGGGGCCCCCCGCCCATAAGGGGGCCCCTCAAAGCAAAAGTACCCTCTGGTTGGGGGCCCCCACTCTTCTTGGGGGCCCCTCTAAACCCTAAACTCTAAACCCTAAACCCTAAACTATTAAACACAAAAGGGGGCCCCGTCTCTTGCGGGGCCCCTGAATTCCCTCTGGGGGCCCCCATTCCCCCTGGGGGGCCCCTGAGGGCCCCCCTCTCTCTCTGAGGGGCCCCCACTCCCTCTGGGGGGCCCCCGAGGGGCCCCCACTCCTTCTGGGGGGCCCCCCAGGGGGCCCCCCTCCCTCTGAGGGGCCCCTTAAACAAGGGGGCCCCCATGGATTGAAGCTGTGTTCCCTCTGGGGGGCCCCCTACAGGGCCCCCCACTCCCTCTGGGGGCCCCCTTACTTACAGGGGGGCCCCCTTTCCCTCTAGGGGGCCCCTAAACAGGCGGGGCCCCCTTTGATTAAAGATACGGGGCCCCTCAAGCCCTAAACGTTATAGGGGGCCCCCAACACCTTATACCCTTGGGGGGCCCCCCTGGGGGGCCCCTTGGGGGCCACCTGGGGGGCCCCTTGGGGGCCCCCTGGGGGGCCCCCTCGGGGGGCCCCTTCTTCGGCAGCAGTTGAAAAGTGGGTACTAAATTTGCTGCAGGGGCCCCCCCTTTCTCTTGCTTGGCCCCAACCCTCTTCTTTCTTTTTTTTTGTTTTTTTTTTCTCTGGGGGTGGGGGCCCCCCTCTTCATTTTGATGTTTGTTTGCTTTGTTATTATGTTAAGGGGATTGTGCTGCTGCTGCTGCTGCTGCTGCTGCTGCTGCTGCTGTTGCTGCTGCTCCTCCTGAAGGCGTCCATAGAAGGAGAGAAAATCAAGCGGCGGCCACAACCCCCTAAAAACAAAAAAAAACAAAAAAAAAAAATAAATAAAAATAAATATATATAAATAAA